CCATCTATCCACCCACCCATCCATCCATCCATCCACCCACCCACCCATCCATCCACCCACCCATCCATCCATCCATCCACCCACCCATCCATCCACCCACCCATCCATCCACCCACCCATCCATCCATCCACCCATCCACCCATCCACCCACCAACCCATCCACTCATCCACCTACCCATCCATCCGTCCATTCATCCACCCATCCACCCATCCACCCATCCACCCATCTATTCAGCAACACCACTGGCATCGACTGCAAGTCAAGCTATAAGGAGAGAAAACCAACAAGTAACAAGGTGGCTTTGCCCAGGAAACAACAGACTGGTGGGGGCAAACAGATATTTACAAGTTCACACGTGATATTTACAAGTGCTTCCATGGGGAAGGCAGAAGGTGGGAGTCACCCAAACAGAAACTGTGAAAGGGTCAGGGAGGCCCCCAAGGAAGCCCTAATGGCTGGGAGGCAGGCAGCTGTTGGCCCGGAGAAGGTGGGCAGCTGGGAAGCAAAGGCCCAGAAACCTCTGAGGTTCCCAGCTCTTTCGGTCCAGGAATCGCAGGGCCTTGCTGGTCCCATCCAGAGTTTGTACTTGTGTCAAGAGCAGAGAGGAGCCTCTTGAGGAGCCACCAGCTTAGGTTTGCATTTAGATCATGCTGGCCACGTATGGGAAGTGGAGTGATGGGTGAGCTGGGGCGGAGACCAGTGAAGAGACCAGAACAGATGGAACCTCTCCTCCAGGAGTACCTGAGCCAGAGTGGGAAAGTCCCCAGGCAGGCCAGCTGTCACATGGCCTGGGGGGTCAGAGGAGAAGGAGCAAGTCAGCCAGCTGGGAGCTGCTGGGGACTGTTGGGGAGCCCAAGGTTGTGGTAGGGAGGTCCCGGCTACACATGGAGTCTTCCCATCTCTGAAGCAGACTGGGCCTAGCCTGATGATATCAGGATCAGTTTCCCCTCCGTGTCTCCCAGTGCAAGACCTGGGAGGACTTGGTGCGGTCTCACCCAGCATTCTGCAAAGTAGCCTTGAGGATGTCTCCAAATCATGCAGCTAGGCCAGCCAATTGTGGAGCCCCAGGGGCCAGGTATTGGGAAGCATAACTTGTGGCAGGGGATTAGGGGTGCCCAGCAGTGACCAGGGTATTTGTGGAAGGCCAGGGAGGGACAGCCCAGGATCAGAGGGTGATGCCAGGTACAGAAAGGTAGACTCAGTGGGGCAGGGGGCAGTTAAGCCTGCAGATGAAACCACACAAATTCCAGGCCTGGCATCATCACTTATCCATAAGTGACCCCGGGCAAATGACTTAACTGCTCTGAGCCTGAACATGTCATGCTCAGATGGACACATGGATCAGGTTCCTTTCCAGAGCTGTCACGGGGTGAAATTCCCTGATATTTAGAAAGCATCTTGCATTTGGCTTTGCCTGTTGCGCAGAGTTTAGCCAAAAGCAGCTTTGAGTGAACATGACAATTTGATGGAATCAACAGTGCAGACTTAAACAAAAGCTGTGCTCGTTAAACACACATCCGTGGAGAGCCAGCTGTGAGCTCTGGAGCAGTGTTTGTACAGAGCACGGAAGAGGGGAGCACCCAGTTTACGCCATCACGTCTCTGTTGCCAGTTCCTCTTGGATACCACATCAACTTGGGGGTCTCTGCAGGTTCATAGCCAGGCTCCTCCCACTCCCCAGTACCCTTGTTGTGCTGCCTCTGGCCCTGCTTGCTGGGAGGTCCACAGCCTCAGACGGGGAGGCGGCTGGCATGGGGCGTGAGAGTTTTTCTGAGCTGCAGTGGAGTACGGATGGGGACCACCCAGGGGCGCTGGCCGCTGCTGTTTCATTCATGTTTAGATGGTTCCTGATGGCCCTGGAGCCTCAGTTCCATGCTCCAGCTCAGCAAAATCCCTCCTTCTTTTCCTGAGTGAGTCACAGGACTCACAGCATTGGACTCCGCTGCCCTGTCTTACAAGCCATTTGCCCACCTGTCCATCAGCACCTCCGCCTAGAGTCCCAGAGCCCAGGAGCTGCCACAGGACTGCAGAACTGGGTGAAGATTTCAGCTCTGTTCAGCCCTTACTAAGAAACTGCCTCTTGAGGGTGCTTCTGGAAACCCGAGGGCCACAGCTCTTCTGCAGATTGCTGGAATGTGGGGGCTGAGGTAGTGGCTCTTAAAAACTTCAAATGTGAGAAAAGATCTCTGGTACCTTAGAGCACTGGAATGAGAGAAGCTTTTAGAAACGCCAAAGCATTAGGAATGTCCCAGAATTCCAAATGCCTAGACCTCTCTGGAATTGTAAAATATGGTCTTGAAGTTGGAAGGGATTCTCTGGAATCTTCAGGGGAGTGAGGGAGTGCTGACTCCCAGACTTAGGAAGGCCACCCGTGAATTCTATAAACCTGGCAAATCTCAAACGACCTGGATGTCTAGCTGAGTTCTCCAGACCCTTGGGGACCTCTAACCTGGATCACCAGCTCTCTCAGCCTCAGTTTCCTTGCCTATAAATTGGGGCCACCAGCCTAGTAAGACCCTTCCTAGAGGTTTCAGGAAGAAATGCTTCCAAAGTGTTCGACAGAGGACGTGGCAGATGTAAGGACTTAATATAGTGACAATTCAGGTGACAGTGGCCTTGGGGGCCTACAGCAACGGTACGCAATTCTGGAATTCCCCCAGAGACCTATTTTTTAAAAGCCACAGTTTAAGCTCTCCAGCTGGGGTGGAGATCGGCAAGGTCGAAGCTGACCGTTTGTGCTCACCAGGGGCGGTGAGCCGGCTTGGCGCGAGAAAGGCTGGGCTCTCTCTTGAGGTGGTTCTTTGAGAGGTGTTTGCTCTAGGTCCCCAACCTTGTCTGTACAGAGTAAGGTTGAGCACAAACCATGCTGTCTTTGTCAAAGCTCTCTGCTGTCCTCTGGTGGACACAGCATGGTCGCATCTTTACAGTGCATTTCCAGCCACACAGGGAGCACGCGTCCCTCAAGGGCTCACTGTGGAGCCCTTTCACAGGTGTCGGTCACTCAGTCCTCATTTTCGCCATGACAGGCGAGGTCTGGAAGTAGAAGCTGAGGCCAGCAAGGGAAAGTCTGTCACCAGCAAGTCATGAGGATTGGGCTCGAGTCTCTGAGTGGCCTTGCCCTTTGGGACAAGAGGGGAAGGGAGAGAAACAGAGCCTAGAAATGGCTGGGCGGGGAGAGCGTCCCCTCTGACGTCACTAGTCACTGTGTCCTGGGTGCTGTCCACCTCTGGCTTTGCCCCAGTGATCCTGAAGGGACAGCTTGAGGCAAGAACTCCAGGTCCAAAAGGCAGGTCGTCCAGCCATGCTGTGCTGCAAGAGCAGACCGAGGCTCGGCCACAGGCTCGGGTCTGCATCTTGCCCAGTGTCCTAGATGTCCCGGCCATCCAGCCACCCGTCCCAGTGCCCTGCCCTCTGGTCTTTCCGGAGAGCCTCCTCGGGAGGTGACCTGCAGCCCACTTGTGGAAACCCTGTAGCACCTGCTGTGTGCTCCAGGTGGGGGAAGCCTGCCGCCTTCCCAGCTCACCTTCAACTCCTCTGTCTCCCAAGCTCCACACCTGTGGATCTGTGGTTGCTGCTGTTTTGGGTTGTTTTTTTTTTTTTTTAAATAGAGTCTCACTAAGTTGCCCGAGGTGGCCTTGAATTCAAGATGCTCCTGCCTGAGCAGCCCAGTCAGAGTGCCGGTGTTGCCACACCCAGGTTGGATTTTTAAATTTAGTTTTGCATCACCAGTGCATTTCTCTGCCCATTTCCCCGCTCTAAGACTTTTGCGATTGCTGTCCTCTGTGCGCGAAGCCCTCCTTCCGTGTGGCAGTCTGGCTCACTCCCACTCTCCCGGTCTGACCCCTGTCCTGCCTGCTTCCCCTAGAACTGCGGTGACCATCCTGCCTCACCCTCTCCTCCTCACTTACCTGCCCCTCTTATCAGACTTCAAGCCAGCGCCCGGAAGCTCACCATGCTCCCTGTCCTGTCCCCAGCACCAGGCACAGAATGTGCATCTGGTGACAGAATAAGTGAGAAATGAATTAGTTATGGGGACAAACCCTGTCTGGCCCCCAACGGGGGTACAAGCTGAGTGACCTTGAACAAGATCTGTTCCCTCCCTGAGCCCTGAGGGTTTCCCACAGCCTTTGGCGCCTCTGAGGCTTCCAGTGTGGGAGGGCCCTCCCTCCCCGCACTTGAAATGGCCAGGCACTGGCTGCTTGCTGTGGACTCCTGGACCCCAGGGTCCTCCCTCCCAGACAGCCAGGAAGGGACCTGGGGTCAACCCAAGGCAGCTGGCCTGGCATCCTCAGGCCCAGGGTTAATTTTTACCCAGCAGCTCAAAGTCCAGATGGCCTTGGCAGCTTCTCCCTCTCTGTTTGCTTGGGTTAATGATCTCGGGAGCACAAACATCCCCACCCTGGGCAGGAGGAGGCTGTGCACCAAATACTCAGCCCCAGCCAGCATGGCAGGGATGGGGGCTGGTTCACTGCTGCGGGCCTCAGCTTCCCAGCAGGCCATGGGGCTGACAACCGTGATCCTGCAGCCACGCGGGGAAGGCCAGGAGAAGGTCTCAGTACACAGGGAAGGCAGTGGGCAGTTCAGGTCGCCCCTCCACAAACAAGAATCTTGCTTGACCTCTGGGCAGTCAGAAGAGGATTGTTATCTGCAGTTTACAGATTAAGAAAGGGAGCAGGAAAGCCACTCTTAACTCACTCAGAACACAGAGACATCAGGGTTTCTGGCTTCCGATTCTTACTTCATAGCACCTTTCTGCTGCTACCACTACCCAAACCATAAAAGCTTGAGAAAGTCTGTGAGAACAAGGGATAACTGTTCCAGAAAGCCAAACCAAGATACTATATCTACTGTGTATCAAGGATTTGAACTCCCTGGCGGCCAAAGCAAAAAGGAAATGTAATCAGTGGCCACACTGTCTGTTACAGAGGAAAGGAAATACATTCTCTTAGGAACAGACACACTTTTTCAGGACACACACCAGGGACAAGAATGCATCAACTGGATCAGTTCTTACTTATCCATGCACTGACTACGTAAGGGATTCCCCCAATTTTCACAGAGCAGGGGGCTTGTTCTTGGACCCACCTTGTGAAAAGGACATTCTAGCTCTGGCAGGAAGGTGGCAGTGTGGATAGAATATTCCTTGCCAGGATCCAAGAGGAAGGGAGAACAGCAGCTGTAACCTCTGGAGGAGAAAATATCTTCAGGAGACCATGGTCTCACTGGATAGAGTTCAAGCCGTGGAGACAGACAGATCTGGGTTTTCAAAGATCCCATTTAAAATTTTAAACCTATTGACTAATATATTTGCTTCCTAGGGCTGTTCTAACAAAGAACCACAAACCAGACAGCTTAAAACAACAGACGTGACTGGAAGTGATGGGGTACGCCTGTGATCCTAGCACTGGGAGCCTTAGGGAGGAGGGTCACAAATGTGAGCCCAGCCTGGGCAACTTAGAGACTTAGAAGACCCTGTTTTAAGAAAAACTGGAGGTGTTCTGTAGCTCAGTGACAGAGTACTTGCACAGCAGGTGTGACAGCCTGGGTTCAACCCCCAGTACAACACACAGACAACCAAAAATGTTCTCTGCCACATTGAGGGAAGCCGGAAGTCCAAGATCCAGTTTCGGTGGTTGCCATCAGCCTCAGCAGCCTGTAGCTGCAGCTGCGCTGTCTCTGCCTCATCTGCACATGGCCACTGCCCCTGCACGTGTGCCCTCTGGGCCTCACTCTCCATTCTCTGATACAGACACAGGTCATTGGGCCCACAACCATTCTGTGGCCCTCATCCTAACTAATCCACATCTGCCAATGAGGTCGCATCCCGCAGCATGGGTGGGCAGGAACTTTGGAAGGGATGCTAAGCAGCTCACCACAGACCCTGGGGGGCGGGGGCAGGAACCTGCTAGTGCGTCACCGGTGCCGAAGCCCCCAGCCTTACCCCAGTGCGGGAAATAGGATGGTGGTCTCCATTCTACAGATGCAGAAATTGAGGCACTGAGACATAGAGTGACCTGCCCAGAGTCACACAGTAGCAGGAGTCCCACAGACAGCTGCTCAGTCCAGAGTCCCTGCGCTCAGCCACTGACAGAGACTCCCTTTCCCGGCAACCCCACATCACGTCCCTGCTGCGGACCCCTGGCCAGGCATGCCACTTCTTGGAGTCTAGTGTCTGTCAAGGGGAAGGTAGCACCCACTTCCGGAGGAGATTCAGAGTTAAATGCAACCCTGTGACCTGTGCAAATGCTGGGGACAAAATCAGCAGATTGCAGGTGCCCAGGGAATAAGTTCTGTTATATCAGCACCACCACCATTGTCATGGTTGTCATCGTCATCATCATCATCATCTCTACTGTGATCTGCAAAGGCACCAGGAAGCCAGGGGTCAGAGAAAGCAGGCCGGGGGCAGGATGCCTGGGCTCTAGCTTGGCTCTGCCACTGACCTCCCCGTGGTGGCTGGTAAGTCACTTCCTGTCTTCCAGCCTCAGTTTCCTCATGTGAGAAACAGAGCAAATCAGGCTAGAACTGCTGGAGCTCAGGTGGAGGGACACAGCAGGAAAGCACGTGCTGCCTCCAGTGGCCGCTGTGCCAGGTGGGCATCCGCAGGGACCTTTCCTGGGGGCTCGGCTCTTTGGAGTGAGACACCCTGGCCTCTGACCTCAGGATTTGACCCCATCAGGCTACAAGGTGGATCAAAGCAGCCTCGCAGCCCTGATTGGTCCTGGCTGTGGAGAGCAAACACCGAGGTCACCTATAAGCCTCGGGCCCTGTTCCTAGCCTCAGTTCACAGTCGTCCCTGCCAGGGAGGTGGTGGCTCCTCTGTCCCCAGTCCAAGTGGAGAGACACCCAAGACAGAAGAGCTGGGAGCCATGTGGGGTGTTAGGGCCCTGCTCCTGCTGCTGACCGGATGCCTGGCTGTGAGTGCGAATTCTGTGCCGATGCCGCCAGATGACATCCAAGTGCAGGAGAACTTTGACGAGTCCCGGGTAAGCTGGCTTTCCTGTGGGTGGCTGTGGGACTGCAGTGTCCAAGTGCCCAGGCCTGGCTCCTGTCTCAGTGCCCATCTGGAATGCACAGCACAGCCCGAAGGGCCCCTGCCGCTCTGGGTTCCGGGGCTCTCTGAAGCTGCCATTCTGCTTGCCACTCACCCTGTGGGACCCTCTCCCCTGATGCTCTGAGCCAGCACCCTCACATTCTGCCCCTGCTCAGGGGCTCCTGGGAAATCCATCCTCCGATGAGAACTCACTGCAGAGAAGGCTTTGTCCCCTCTGCCACCACCCCAGGAGCCCCTCGAGGCCTTGAGTTTAGCGAACCTTGAGGACCACCTGCTCCCAGACTTCATCCTTTAGTGATTTGGCCCTACCTACAGCATCCTTATGTTAGCGCATCCTGGTCCCCCAGCCTCACGTGGACAGAAACCCAGGTGGCACTGGGCAGTCTTGTGCCCATGATCTTTGCCTGGGCATGAGGGATCATGGGAAGAGGAGAAGCAAGACAGGGCTGATCAAAGGCCATTGGGATCAAAAGCCATGGGTCAAGGGAGAGTCCTGGCCTGGGCTTGGACCCAGCACTGTGTGCCCACACACACACACACACACACACACACACACACACACACGAGTGTGTGCATGTATGATCCTCAAGCTGCCTGAAGTCCCACCTCTGCCCTGAATGACACAGCCACCTTGAGCAGGACCTTGCTGCCTGCAGCCCTGCCACCTGCTCTGTGTGAGAGACTATTGGACCCTTTCCAAGGTGGCAACAGTAGATGTGCTTTGCTTTAGGGACGAGGGAGAGGTGCGAGCAGTGGGGCCATGGGAAGCAGGCCTCCCTTCTTGGGGTCTGGGATGCTAAAGGGCCTGAGGCTCTCTGGCTTGTTCTGGGTGATGTGGGTCTCCTCCAGCTGTGAGGAGAGGAGGCCACAGCAAGGTCCTATGTGGCCCCGCAGGGTGCAGGGTACTGCCAAGATCCCTCCTTCCACCGCTGAGGGGAGCGCCTTGTCACTGTGGGAGAGAACAGCAGGGCTGGAGCTCTTGGAAGCAGTGGTTGTCCCTCAGAGCATGGGGTTTGCCCTCCTCACCCCATCTCGGAGGGACACAGCCATCTGCAGGGCAGGCGGAACTCTGGCTCACAGCAGCTTCCTGAGCTCGCCGTTACCCGCAGCCCCACCATTCACTGTAGGCATCATCGGGCGCTCATGCTGGTACATACCGGTAATCCCTGCTATTCTGGAGGCTGAGGCAGAAAGAGCACAAGTACAAAACTAGTCTGGGCCACTTAGTGAAACCCTGTCTCAAACTGATAATAAGTAAGTGGCTGGGGATGTGATCCAGTGCTAGAGCACCCCTGGGTTCAGTCCTCATTGCGGTAAAAAACAGAACAAAACAAACAACCATCACCCAACCGCAAAAGCCTGATCACTGAGAGGAGCGGTCAGGGGGTGTCAACAAAGTCGTCTTCAGGGTCCAAGGCCTATCCAGACCTAGCGCTGATGGTTGCCTCCTAGATCTACGGGAAGTGGTTCAACCTGGCTATAGGCTCCACATGCCCATGGCTGAAGAGGATCAAAGACAAGCTGAGCGTGAGCACGATGGTGCTGGGCCGGGGCACCACGGAGGCACAGATCAGCACGACCAAGACCCACTGGCGGTGAGTAGGGGCAGCAAGCCGGAGCAGGACCCCACAGCCTCCTCGTCTGGAGGGACAGATGTGGCCTCTGAGCACCAGGCGCCCCCTCCCCTGCCCTGGAAGGCGCCCTTTCCTCATCCTTCCTACACTGTCAGCGCTGCATCCCCAACACTGTCTGCTTTGCAACCTCCTCCGGCTCAATTCCCTCTTATGTAAAATGGGGGCCTCCCAGGCTAGTGTCAGGGTTAAACAGGATGTTTAGAAATGTTATTTCCAAATCTAAAAGAATTAAGAAAAATCAGAGTCCCTCAATGGTGTTGGGTGTCAGGACCATGGTTGCTACTACAAGTTACCTTCTGTCTGGTTCGTTCATTCCAGGAGAGGAGTATGCGAGGAGATCTCAGGGATTTACGAGAAAACAGACACGGCCGGGAAGTTCCTCTACCGCAAACCCAGTATGTGAGGAAGGAGCTCCGTGCTCCTCCCCTGAGCTCAAATCCACTTTTCTCGTCGGTTCACGTGCTGTCTGTCCCTCTTAGCTGAGATGTCAGCTGCCTTTCTCTAGATGCCTCCCACTCCAGGCGTGGTGGCGCATGCCTGTAATCCCAGCACTCGGGAGGCTGAGGCAGGAGGATTGTTGCTAGTTCGAGGGCAGCCTGGGCTACAAAGTGAGCTCAAGGCCAGCCTGAACTGCATAGCGAGACCCTGTCTCAAAAAAGACCAAAAAAAAAAAAAAAGATGCCTCCCCCTCCTTCTGTTTCTTCCTCTCTCTCCCAATCTGTGTCTCTTTCCTCTGCTATACTCATCTGGAGCAGGGTGCTGTGCTGAAGGCCAAGGACAACGTCAAGGTTCCATCAGTCTTCAGGTCTTGCTGTGCCTGGTGCCCATGACAGAGACTTGGGCATGCATTTAATCCCTGAATATGCTCTTGTCAAGGGATTATGTTAGAGCTGACTATGTGAATGTTTGGGCAGATGGACAGATGGATGGATGGGTGGAAAATATATGTGTGAATGAGCAAGCAGTGAAGATACATATAGTAAGTCCTCCTGCTCTAGGAGTAAGTTGCATTCATTCGTAAGCCGACAAGGTGAGTCTTACACAGCACATCTGTGAACGTTTGCAACTCTAATGTGTGTTAGCCAGGGACTTGTGTGGATGGTAGATAAACGAGGTATCTCATAGGCAAATTGATCAAGTGACACAGGAAAGAAGAAAGAAAAGAGGGAAGAGAGAAAGGAAGGAAGGGAGGGAGGGAGGATTTAGACAGCACTGATGAAGTGACGGTGGGTGAATTCATGATGTTTATAGTGGGTAGAGAGAGACTATGTTTATAGTGGATAGAGAGTTTATAGTGGACAGAGAGAGACCGAGGATGGGTGAACTGACAAACATACAGAGGGTACCGGTGGATAGATGGATGGGTGGCTGACGACACGATGTGTGAATGAGCAGGTGATGAATCTCAGGCAGAAGAACCTTCTGACCACAAATCCTGCTTGCATCTCTGTGCAGAATGGAACATAACCATGGAGTCTTATGTGGTCCATACCAACTATGACGAGTATGCCATTATTCTGACTAAAAAGTTCAGCCGCCACCATGGACCCACCCTTACTGCCAAGCTCTATGGTAAGGGCCAGTTCCAAGATGAGCCTCTTGGAACTGGGAGGGGACCACTGATTTGGGGATGTAGGGTGGGGAAGAGTGGGGAGTTTTGCTTTTTTTCTTTCTGACAGAACTCCAGTTAGGAGAAGAAGCAAGTGTTTGCACTCCCTGGAGGAAGGAGGTACATAATCTTGATCAAATCTCTAAAATAAATTCCAGAGCCTCTAGCCCTTGAAAGAGACAATGGAAAGGGGCCTGTGTGGGGACTCAGAACACACATGGGGCTCCTGCCTGGGAGCCAAGGAGGGAGCTTCTTCCTGCCTGGGAATTCATCATCCCACAAGTGTACTGAGGGTACTGAACAGGGTGATGTTTCCAAACTTTGCCTAAACAAAAATCTCCTTGCCAAATCATCTTGGCCTGGCCAGCCCAGGTGCCTGATGGCTTCAGGTGTCTCCTCTATCTCCTATTTCTAGGGCGAGAGCCGCAGCTGAGGTACAGCCTACTGCAGGAGTTCAGGGAGATGGCCCTGGGTGTGGGAATCCCCGAGAACTCCATCTTCACCATGACCAACAGAGGTAAATGCCACCCCCTACCCCACCTTGGACTTCTATCCCCTGCTCCTCCTTCATGGTCCCGAGAGACCAACTCTAGCCATTGTGTCTTTGCTATAACCCTCAGTCAAACAGGGACTATAGTCTCCTTCCTCTTTTTAGAAAACCAGAGAACCATTGGATTGGTCTCAAGCCTCCCAGCACACCATTGGCAGAGCTAGGACTAGAACCAACTCCATGAGCCTCTTGTGCCCATTTGTCTCAATGAGGCCACATCCAGAATCCATAGGAGCCTCTCAGAAGGCCATAGAGTACCAGGATTGGAGCATGGGCTCGGGAGCCAGAGCTTCTGGGTTCTAATTTATGTGGCTTCTGGCTAGTCAACCTCAACCTCTCAGAGCCTCACTTTCTCCCATCTGTAAGATGGGGACAGTAATAGCTCCCTTATCTACTGCTGTGAGGAATCAATGAGATAAAGCCATTAAATACACTAACACTATGCCTAGGAAGTGCTCAATAAATATTAGCTATTGCTGTTCTTGTGGTGATGTTGCGATATGGGTGGAGAAGGGTGGGTAGGCAGGTGGTAATGATGGTGCATCTATCAGCCTGCTGTTTTTCCAGTGGATGGCCTTGAGCAAGCAAAATGGGCAGGGCCACCCATGAGACGGACTGCACTCAGCATCATAAAAGAAATCTAGGTCTAGGTTACCCCCAAGCCTGGTCCTCTTGTTCACTATCCTGTCCTCTGATCTAGGGGAATGTGTCCCTGGGGAGCAGACACCACAGTCCGCCCCAGCCTCGGTGAGTATCTCTTCCCCTCAACCCCACCAGCCCTGTCTCAAGTACTCTACACACATGGTCGTTTCTGACCCTGCTCTGGCCCTGCTATGGTGGGAGCAGATCACCGAGGGCTGCGTAGGACATGAGCTCTAAGGTCAGACCCACTGGCGCTCAATCTTGACTCTGCCACACGGCTGATTGCTGCCCTATCTAGACCTCACTTTTCTCATCTGTGAAGTGGAATAATTATGTTTACCTCCTGGGCTTATGCTAGAATCCAATAGCATGTTGGTGAAGCTCTTCATATAGTGCTTGAAAGTGCCTAAAAGAAGTAAAACACAAATATGAAATGACAATATTTAATAATGAGTAGTGGTACTCAGTACATGGAAATAAAATCAATTGATTTCTCTTAAAATCTGAGAACAAGTGACTTCTTAAGACAACTCCTTCCTCAGCAGCCTTCTGCATTTGCTCCTCCAATTTTTTTCTGCCCTTTGTCATATTGACTAAGTTTTATTCATTCTTGCTTCTTTTACTATTTGGAAGTTATGTATCCTAATTTATTCTGCTGATTTGTGTATGTCCAGAGACATTTGTGCATGTTTCCATGTGAGCATACAATGTGTATTTGTATGCATGTGTGTGTATAGTATGTACGTTTACTTAAAAACACATTCCTGAAAACTGAAAAATAAAAGATGAGAAAAGAATGTCATTCTGACATAGAATCAACACTGTTAACATATTACATATTTACTCCTATACTTTTAAAGAAAGATACTCTTCATCTTATAAAACACATGCTCATTGTAAAGAATTAAGCCAGTGCAGAAAATATCAAGATAAATAAAACATTTTTAAAACCCCCAAACTCCCATTATTCACATAATTTTAGCAATCTTAACAGGACAGACCAAAGGAAGCACACATTGACGGATTATACTTAGACTATTATTAAACACACTTTTGTTACTGATGCTATCTTCTATTTTCAAAACATTAATTGTTATTTTACTTAAATTTAAAAACAAACCAAAGTGAACTTCTTGAACTTCAAATAAACATTTCCTTACTACAAAAGCACATGGCTTAGAGGCAAGTGAAGATTAAGAAAAGACATTTAAGAGGCTGACATTGTTATCTATAAACCTAAAAAATATTTATTCTCTCTGTGACTTGCTTGGACTTTGTTCCATCTCCTCTTGGCCTTTTCTTCTGCATACTCCAGGTTGACACCAATCCCGTTCCATTTTGTCCCTATAATGAATGCCCACTGTCATTTAGACCACTGAACAACTAGTCCACAGTTTTATAGTTTTGTAGAACTAGCTCTCCTGGTTCTGTATGTTAGTTTTTCTTGTCTAATGACCATAACCAGATTCTTCATTTCTGATTCATTCATTCTTATCAGTGTTGCTTTTTGCCAAGTAGAGTTTTTCAGGCAGTTCCTTGGTGTTGTCCCCAGAATACTCAACCTGTGATACTGGAAGAAAACAGAATTAAAGAACAGAAGGCAATTCCCCAATGGCTCCATGCTATACAGTCATTTGCTTAGAACATGCATTTATGAAAACAGAGCTTGTTATGGTTTAGCTCTAGAATGTCCCCCCAAAAGGCTCACATGCTCAGAGTTTGGCCTTTTGGAAGGTGACTGGATCATGGGGGTGCTGTATTCATCAGCTGAATGCTTGGAAATGACTGCCTGTTTCCTGCACACTCAGACGCCATTTTGATTTGGGGCAGTATCCTGGTGTCTGGGAGCAGTGCATCACTCCATCTTCTCACACATGGTGACTGCTGTGAAATGGGTGGGACCACTGTGAAACCTATGTCCTCTCCTTGCAGGCAGTTTGTTTTTTCTACTCTTACACCTGGGAAAACTTATCATTGAAGTCAAGGTCATGCTTGGTGTTCATATTTCTATATAAACACAGAAATGTTCATGTTTCTGTATATGAACACAGTGTGCTCTTTTCCTGCATAGATGTCCAAATACAGACTCCAAATGCATTTCTTATGCATTCCAGGGAAATTCCTTGCACAGTGTGATTAAATTCATCTTCTGTTCCCTTTATGGCGTGTTGCTCATGGGGAATACTCAGTCTCTCTACTTAGAGCTTCTTGGTCTTTCACAACTCCTTGTTTCTCTCCGGTTGATTTCAGCTCTTTATCACATTTGTTGGGATTATCATTAACCTTGCATTTGTAGTCATTTTCAGTCATTCTGTCCCCTGGACAAGTCATTGCATTCTGTTCCTTGCGAGTTCTGGTTCTAATTTATTTGCGAGCTCCAAATTTACATTGTTTTATTCTTACCTGTTTAGGCCTGGGTTCACTTTTCATCTTGCTCTGTTGTTTTGGCAATTCATCTTAGAGTCCTGTCTTAGTTACTGTCTCATCACTAGGACACAATTAAAGGAGGAGGGGCTTATTTAGGCTCGTGCTTTCAGTCCATGGTTCGCTGGCTGGAAGGCAGGAAGGGCACGGTAGAAGGTTCTGGTGGAGGCAAGCTGCTCACTTCATGGTGGCCAGGAAGTGGAGAGTGAAGGGAGGAAGCAGGGAAGGAGACACCCTCCTCAGGTCACGCCTCCAAGGACCCACCTCTTCTGATCAGACCCCACCTCCAAGCAATGCACTTAGCTCTTCAGTACATTAATCCACCGATGATGACTACAGCACCCCCATGATCCAATCACCTTCCATAAGGCCAACCTCTGAGTGTGTGAGCCTTTTGAGGGACATTCTAAGCTAAAGCATAACACACCCTGTTTTCATAAATGCATGTTCTAAGCAAATAACTCCATAGCATGGAGCCACTGGGGAGTTGCCTTCCATTCTTTACTTCTGTTTTCTTCTGGTATCATAGGTGGAGGATTCTGGGGACAGTATCCATGAAGGCGAAGGGATGAGGGTGGGTTGTGATGAGGCAGAAGTTAAGTTGTGACACAGTCACAGTGCCCCAGCCAACCCTACAAAGACCTTGGTGGCTGGGATGACCCTTTATAGCTGTCTCAAGCTGGCACAAAGGTGCAGACCATAGTACCCCCATATGGACCAGTGTGGGAGGCAGTGTAATCCTGGTGAGGTGGGTCCCTTTAGTTGAGGCTGTCACTACACAGGCTGACAGCTGAAGGCTGTGTGACAGCAGCATGTCCAGCCGCTGACAGAGCAAGTCCAGTGCTGAGGGAAAATCTAGGCAGTTTGGGACAGTGTCCACCACAGTCAGGCTCTTGCTTTTGTTCAGGTTATTTATTTATTCGTTTCTGAGGTGGGTTTGGGTAGTGGGATAAGTTATGTGAAAATCCCACCTCACACACTTTGTGGTAGTTTCCCAGGGCTGCCCCAACAAGGTGCCACCAACTGGAGGTCTAAGCCATAGAAATTTATTGTCTTACAGTTCTGGAGGCTTCCAGAAGTCCGTGCTCAAGATATTAGTAGTGTTGGCTCCTTCTGAGGGGTCTGAGGGAATATCTATGCCCTCTTCTCCCTCAGCTTCCGGAAGTTTGCTGGCCATCTGTGGCATTCTTTGGGTGTTATGTCTGGCATTCTCTGGCCTGTGGCTTCATCACCTCCACCCCCCTGCCTTTATTTTTCAAGTACATTCTCTTTGTGTACCTCTGTGTCCAGAGTTCCCTTTTTTACATGTGCACTACTTATACTAGACAAAGGCCCATCCTAAGGACCTCTTCTTAATTACATCTGTAACAACCCTATTTCCAAAGAAGGTCATGTTCTGAGTTACTGGGTGTTGACTCCAATGTATGAATTTTGGAAGGAACACACTCACTTTATAACATTCTTCCTCTGCTGTGTTTCAAAGGACTGCTACGTGTTCTACATAGGGCTCATGGCATCTGTCTGGGCTGGTGTGTTGTGCATCTGTTCCATTGTGTAGACCCAGAATCTTTTCTTTTTGATACTTGAACTCAGGACCTTGCGCTTGCCAGGCAGGCACTTGTGCTATATCCCTGACCCCTATAGACCCAGAATCTTTACCCCCCTTTTTCACTCTTTTATTCCCAGAGAGCATTTCACTATTCCTCTGTCAGGGAAAGAAAGAAATGGGATGTCCTGAAGTTTCTATTCTCTCTGCAAGTGTTGGAAAGAATTAAGAGTTTGACACCATGCCAGCTTTGGAAGTTGGGAGACAGAGCTAAGAACTGCCCCTTGCAGAACCATTATACTCCATTCTAGAATGTTCGGTTTTTTTCACTGGGTGCTAATTTTAAACTTTGGCTTTAAATCATGCCCTCTTTCCTTTTTTTGAATGACACTGATGGAAACTCAGGGGGTGTGTTGCTAGAATAATTGTTTGCTAAATATTAGGTAAGGGGGAAAGAACTTGTGAAGAGAGTTTCTATTGTGCGTCTTGGTTCAGAGGTCAGCTTTATCTTCATTTCTTTATCAATATCAGGAATGAAGCAGTAACTAAAGACTCCCTTGTTAAAGACAGAAATATAGCACATTTCTGTTTCTCCTGTTTCTTACTTTCTGTTTCTATCTTTTTAAGTTTCCCACATTCCTGTTTTTATGGATATTCTTGAAGATTGATATTTAAATCTTCCCACCCTTTGAAAAAAAATTTTTAAAAATATTTACATTAAGTTGCATAACTGCTTTAGCAAGTATTTATTTTAACTGTATTTTATTGGCCTTATAGATTACTATAACTTCTTTGGTATCATATCTTTGATTTCTGACATTTAGAATCCCTTCTCAATTGGTGGGAATATTTCTGTACACAGTTTCTTCAGAAAAGCAGCATGAGTGGCAGGCTTCTGGATCCTTGCCTAGCTGAGAATGTTTTTCTGTGGTTATATCACATGGTCAATAGCGCAAATGAGTGAAGAATTTTTAACTTATAATCTTTTCTCCCTTATAACCCTTAGATACTGTTCTTGGGATTTTGTCATTAAATCCTGTCATTTACTTTGAGGGTCACCAGGTTTTGTCCCTGGAAATGTCTAAGAAAGAGCTCTTCAATAATTTTTCCTAATTTTCTTTTCCCTTATAATTGAGCAACTCAAAAATATTTTCTTCTATCACTTCTACTGTGCTTGTCTCTCCTGCTGGAGTTTCAATCAGCTGGATTTATTTTTTGTAGTATCTAGACTGCTGCTTATTATCTCTACTGTATAGTTAAATTCAGTTATCTTTTCCATCTTCAATAGCTTTCTAATTTCATCTATTCATTTCTATCACATCTGGCTCCTGTTATATTGAAGTGCATTACTTTTAATTTCATTTATGCCCTGTTTTCTTCTGTTTCCTACTGTCATTCTGTGGCTAGTGAGAATATTTCTTAAGTTTAATCCAATTTTTTTCTGAGCAGCTGCATTATTTAACTTATCCCATGTTTTTCTCCACTCCTTCATCCTCATCAAAGAAGGCCTCCAGCTGCTAGCTTGAGAGGAGTCTGTAAGAAACTGCAGGCCCCTAAACATTTTCACAACTTTCAGCTGCACCCAGGAAGCAGACGGGGAAGCTGAGGCTTACTGTGGTTCTCCTTTTTCAAGTTCCAGATCTCATCTGTGGACAGCAAAGCTGCCTGGTGGCCAGCAGTCTCTCTGCTCATGCTTTCTTTAATTGCCCTGAGATTCTGCTTTAGGGGAGTCTATACCTAGAAACCTCCTTAACAGCTTTGGAGCCTGCCCCGTTCTGCAGGCCCCACCACCCACAGCCAGGAATATTAGGGTCAGTCTTGGGGTCCCTTCATGCTCTCACAATGGAGTTTTACAAGCAGCTAATGATGCTCCTCCTCCAAATCAGTCACACACTCCACTGTGTAAAAAGCGCCTTCCCATTTCCAGACTGGGAATGCTACTTTTCCCTGGTTTCCAACTCTTGGATAGATTCTTTTCCATTATTATATTCCTTTGGGCATTTCACCTGGAAGTCAGATGTGGAGTTATTATTATACTTCATGGTTTTCATTTTCATTTCAGATTAGAAATCTACCCTGTGATCTTTGTTGTGGAACTCAAGTTGATGCTCATGTAAAAATAGTCCATTCATGTTTAGTAGCTATGCTTGAACTGTACCCCGATTTCCAGAGCATGTGGCTGTTGTTCACATACTCTAGGAGTACAGGGAGCAGCGGTGGCAAGGTCTCCACAGCAGCTTATTGTTTCTTCTCTGCAGAGAGCCCGGCGGGCTGTGCTGCCCCAAGAAGATGAAGGGTCAGGGGCTGGACAACCAATAACTGATTTCATCAAGAAAGAAGGTACTGAGAACCTGCCTCTTCACCCCATTCTGTCATGCCCCAGAAAAGAGCTCACCCTGGATGCCTCATCACTGTGAAATTGCTGGCTCACTGCTAGAGTTAAGAACCAGGCTAGGAAAAGGGAGAGAAAATTCTCTGCACTGTGCCAGGGTTGTAGGGAGAGAGAGGAGCATAAAGCACGGTCCTGAGCTTATGAACTCTCAGCTCTGTGATGAAAAGTGAGTTCTTGCCCTGTGTACATCACTGTTTGGCCTCCAAGCCTTGGTTTTCTCATCTATGCAGTGGGACAATGGCCTGTTGGGCTGACCATCAGAGCTCTTCTAGGAGTAGTGGGGAAAGAATGTGAGGATACTTTGTGTTGCTAACAGTATTCAGAAATGCCTTGCTCTCCAACTCACTCAGCCAAAACCAAACCTGCTCAGCCCCAGTCCTGTGCCAGCCACTAGGGTCACAGAGACAAACCATTCCCATCTTCTTGGACCTTCTGGTCTAGTGGGGAGGCATCCGAGGAAGAAAGTGATGAATCCAAGAGAGGTTCAGCAAGGGGCTGGAGGAGCTCAGAGGATGTGGGGCAAGGAGAGCAAAGAGACCTCCTGGACCAAAAGGAATTCACACTCTATCCAGGCATGGGTTTTAGGGTGGAAGGCATTCCAGGGACAGGGGACAATGGAACAAAGGCATTATGGTGGCATCTCAGTGAAGAGACCAGGCTGCCTGGCATGGGGCTGGGAAATGTATTATTAGCTACTATTATTACAGATTCTCTGGGTACATGAAACCAACACAGGATGTGGTAGGTCTGTGGGTCACTGGTAAGTCCGCATGTTATAAAGTAGAATGAGCACTGGTTACAGAGTCCAATAGACATCTTTGGATCTTAGCAGTGTGACCCTGGCCAAGTCACTTCACCTCTCTGAGAGTCAGGTTTGCTTTTTTTTAATCTACAAAATGAGTTGGTAACTCTTCCTCTAAGCGCAGATGTGAAAACTAAAAGGGTTGATGGGTATTAAGTCCCCCGCCTGGTAATAGGTACATAGTAAGCACCCAGTAAGTGCTGCTTTCCTGCCCTTCCCCAGACTCCTGTCAGCTAGGCCACTCGGCAGGTCCCTGCCTGGGAATGTACAAGAGATACTTCTACAATGGCACCTCCATGGCCTGTGAGATCTTCCAATATGGCGGCTGTCTGGGCAATGGCAACAACTTCATCTCAGAGAAGGAGTGTCTGCAGACCTGCCGAACAGTGGGTGAGTACAGTCGCTGCCTCAGTGCACTCTGCACTCTCACAGGTCTGTTCTCCCAACAGACCATCTATGAACAGACTTAAGAGTACATGTCTCCTGGTAGAAATCCAGGGCAAGTTGCTTAAAGTCAGAAGATGTGGACTTGGATATGGGCAACCTGAGGCTGGCTGCTTCTTTTCTGTGGATGTTTCCCAATCTGTGAAAGAGGGGCCACATGTTCTAGATGATCAGGGTCTCCTGGCTCAGTCATCATAAGCATCACCAATGCTCTATGCCTCTCTCCACCCACAGCGGCCTGCAATCTCCCCATAGTCCGTGGCCCCTGCCAAGGCTCAACCCAGCTCTGGGCATTTGATGCCGTCCAGGAGAAGTGTGTCCTCTTCACCTACGGGGGCTGCCAAGGCAATGGCAACAAGTTCTACTCAGAGAAGGAGTGCAAGGAGTACTGCGGTGTTCCTGGTGATGGTAGGAGGCCCTGCGGGGCATGGGCTGGGCTGTGGAGCTGCCAGATTTCAGGAGGGAGAGCCCAGGAGAGGGTGGGTTAGTTCCAGACTGTTTCTCTGGTGAGCAGCCCATCCACCCTCCGGGCCTTAGCTTCCTGTCTGAAATGGGCCAAGCCTAGAGCTTCTCCCCAGCTGGAATTGGGCACCTGAGATGCCAGCCGGGCACCAGTCAAGGGTGTACAGGGCAGGCTGAGGAGCTAGGCATAACTGGGTGCCCATTCTGGTGCTGCCACCTTCAGGCTTGCCATACGGGGCAAGGGGCAATTTGTGCCTTCAATCATCTCTTTTATAAAATGGGATAAAGGGCCATGGACACAGGGTCAGTATGCGAGCCATGGCAGCTTTATCAATAGTGACAACAAGGGAACAACAGCCACTTAAGATTTGTGTGCCTTGATTTTTCTCTTTGAAAATGGTACCTATTTTGTGGAATGCCCTTTGGAGAGAAGTCACTCGGGGTGGCCTCCCCTCCTCCCTGCATTCTCCCAACCCTTGAGCATCCCCACCCATGGACCACTCCCTGAGCCTTTCCATGTCCACAGGGGATGAGGAGCTGCTGCGATTCTCCAACTGATGGCCAGAGGGTGGCCGGTGTTTCTGCCAGGGCAGGCTAGGCCAAGTGACCTGAGTCCAAATAAAACCAGACTGCATGTTGCTGGGGCTCCATGTCCTTACCATTCGTTGTCATCCTAAGGGTAACAAGGTGAGGGTGGGAAGGGGAGAAGCTTGGGAGGTGGGCCAGCAGGAGTCCTCAGAGGTAGAAATGTAGGGCTGGAAATGTAATGCATTACCTGCAGCACATGAAATTGGCTATGCAGTGTAAAGCACGTCAGTGTGTTATTCCACAATAGTGTAGGGATTAATCTGGTTTGTTTCAGTAAAGCTAGAAAAGAAAGGAAGAAAAACTAAGCACTTGTGTCTGGGAGAGGTTGGACCCAAGACACAAGCAACCCAGGGTCAGAAGAAATATTGGTGCCCTAGTGTGCCCTGGGGGCTCAGGGCACGCCCCCGGCGCCTGGTCACTCCCTTCTCCAGCCACACCCACTTCCTCTCCAGGGCTTTCCTTGGGCTGTTGCCCCATCCCTGTCCCCACCCTGGAGATGAAGTGCCTTGGCTCTTTCTCTACCTTGTCCTGGCATGTCGTCTCCTGGAATCCTCAGGCTGGCGCCTTGCCTGGGAAGGAGACTGTTCGCTGGCCTTCTAGTGTGTCCAGGACAGCCAGCTGGACCCAGGACCAGAGAGGCTGGGGCCCCTGGGCTGGGCGGGCTTCTTCCCACCTGGGAAAAAGAATGGGAGGACTGTCCAGGGGCACTCAAGGACCCACACGGCCTCTGAATATGCCAGGAGTCTCAAGAGTCCCAAAGGTGCTGCTTCTGTAGTGGAGAGATGAGACCCCAACTTCCTGTGCTTGGAGGTGGAAGCTGAAACCAGGGCCAGCCCACGCTCTGTGTAGTGACCAGTACTCTAAGAGCCGGCGGGCAATTCAGTCAAGGGCTGGAGACCTGTCGGGAAGGAAGAAGGGAGGGAATTTCATATTTCTTAGATGTGGATATAGAAAACTTTGCAGCTCTCTCAGACACACAAGACCTCCATTGGTTTCATCCGGAGTCCTGAGCTTGACTGCCAGTTTTCAACAGGAGATTGGCCTTGAGAAAGCATTTGTGGCTGTGGTCAGAAGTCCCTGGGCAGCAGTGGGTGGGACAGGAGCAGGGGCAGTCTGAAAGAAGCAAAAGTTCTCCAGCCTGGGACTAATCAACATTGTCCCACCCCATGGCCGTCCTACCTCCTTCATGCCTCCCCCTCCAGGGCCAGCTGTGGATGGCAGTTTGATTGAAGGAGCCACTTGAAGAGACTATTTTCAAATGACCTAGACTGAAAGACAAATGCTTAACCACAAAGTGCAAGCTCCAGGTGCCCTGCCAGCTCCCAGCAGAGGAGGGATGTTAGGCTCCCAGGGTCTTTTTTTGAGACAGGGTCTCGCTATACAGTTCAGGCTGGCCTTGAACTATTTAGTGCACGTTGGCCTCAAACTCTCAGCAATCCTCCTGCCTCTGCCTCCCAAGTGCTAGGATTACCAGTGTGTGCCCAGCTTTCCCAGGGTCCTTTTCAATAGTTCTGAGTTTCCCACTTAAAAACCAAGCTGAAAAACCAAAAACAAACAAAGTAAATAACCAATCTGTAAAAATCTGGGCTTCTCTATTTTCCCGAGAGGTAAAAGGTTCTGGTAGCCTTGCCCTGCAGTCCTGGTTGGGCAAGAGGGCCTGCCCTCACCTGCCTAGCCCCTGAGGCATTTGTGTCTGTGACACTCACTGTAAGTTTTTACTAAAATTTAAAAAATTAAACATATCCTGACCTCACCCCTCAGTGGGGGGATGGGTTCACAAGATCTCTGTCACAGAAAGTCACAGTGCTCACCTCGCATCTCGGAAGTCGTTCTGGAAGTCATTCTCAGCCTGGTAGTTCCTCGAAGATTCATTCGATCCTTTTATTTCCTCACTTGATTCTCAGATAGTCTCACCTCCATTTTCTTTTAATGGTACAGGTCACATTTCCTACCAAGTACATGAGGGGGCTTAATAAGGAAACACTTCTTTCTTTCTCCCTTTGAACTGCCATGTTGTAAGACCCAGGGGCCAGCCCTTCAGCAGTGAGAGCTCTAGGACCAGGCCACCCTGGCCTTATTTGGTTCAAGGGTGTGGTGGAATCCTTTGGCCCACGACCCCTCCTTTTTGTTTCAGACACAGAGAAACTGTCAACTGCTAGCTCGGGGATGTCCATGGTCACTCACACAAAGCTCCTGGGAGGGCAGTCTGGCGGGCAGAGGGGAGTGTCAGGTGGGCCGTTTGATGGTATTTTTCCAGGTGAACTAAGGAAGTTAAACCTCTAAGGGCAAGTTAAACCCGTAAGACCATAGCTGATCAGAGACATGGGTGGAGTAGGGGCATCAGCGGGTGGGAGGCTGGGAGCCACAGGCAGACTGAGGAGCTGTTGCCCTCCCCACCTGCACCAGCTGCAGCTGGTCTCTGCTGGAGTCGCCTCTTCTACCATTTGCCTTTGGTTTGTGTGACACGTTGGGCTCTGGGTAAGTGCCCCAGTCCGGTCTCCCATAGCTCATGATAGAAGACACTGATTCCTGCTTAAGAGTACTAGATGCCACTAGGAATTGGGCAAAAGCCATGGACACTCTTCTGCAGAAAATGGGCAATACACACAACAGTCACATCAAGCACACGTATGGTTTGGGAGGTCCAAGGTGCTGAGAGTCACTTGAATGACCACAGGATCAAGCATACGTGGATGTGTGCCTTTAGACACTCAGCCCACAGGACTCAGAATAAGCTCATCCATTTTGCCATGGGGCAAGATTCCTCAAGCAGGTGCACGGGGGCCATATCACCCAGGACCACGTCCCCCTCATGTATCAAACACTGGCTGAGCCGGGTCTGCTGCTGGACATGACGAATAACTCACGGAGGAGCCACTTGTGCTCCCGCCTCACCCAGTTCCTGCAGGCGCCCTGCTAACTGGGGGGCAGCCCCCAACCCCAAGCCCAAGGAAAACAAACTGCACACTGCATCTTCCTAAAGGTCATTTTATTGCAAAACCATAAATACAACACTGACATGAACTCATTTAAGCAACTGATCCTCTCTAACCGTTAAAAGGATGTCCTTTTGCCTTGGCATCAAACAACTGGGAAATAATGTGAGAATTCAGGGGGCCAGCGGGGTACAGAATCCTGGGCTGGGGCTTTTGGCGACTTAAGGAACCAGGTGGAACTCTCCTCCCAGAGAACGTTCCACTTTTGGACAAGAACAGACAGGTAAAAACAGCAACATTTAAACAGCTCAGTTTCAAATTTTATTACTTTGTAAAAAAATTTTTTTTTCTGATCCCTTCCTCCATTTGACATCAGTAGAAGTTTTAAACATCATGAAACTGATTCGGTTGTAAATGGAGAAACGGTACCAAAACGAAATGAAACAAAAACCCGAAGGACACACACAAAACCCTAAATAAACCCTCAAGTTTGGTCTCGGGGGTTTACATATCACAAGAACTGTCAACTCAACCCCCATGCAATGCTACTCCTCGTGAACTGTTGGATCCACACCAACGATCAAGGAGACTGCCAACAACATCTTTTGTTAACACAGCGAGTGTGACACTAGGTAACTTTTTATTTTTTAAATACAGTACATGGTACACAGGGTCCCAAGATGGCCCTGCATAAACCCCCGTGAAGACTTGAGCCAAGCACTGGCTGTTTATAAAAATATTGTGTTGCTACAAAAGTATAAATTAATGCTACCGGTATTAAGAAATATTAAACACATAAAACTTATAAGGATTAAGAAAAATATTCATTAATACCTGTAGAAAACTCTGGCCTAAAAAAGATATTTTTTTGTGTTTGCTTTTTTGTAAATTTTTTTTTTTTAAGATGACTTGAGTTTCTTGCACTCGAAGAGAGAGACACAGATGTGCCTATGGTATTGCCTAGAACGTTTTACTACTGAGAAGGGATGAGGGGCGCACGCACATGGTTACTGAGTGGGGGGCGGGCGGGAGGGGGCACCAAGGCGTTCTCAAGATTTACCTGATGTGAACGAATCACCGACGTGAAGTTGTGGGGAAAAGAAAAAGGTAGGATCAGAAAACTGAAAATAATTTACGTTTCTTAAAAATATCTCTGCGTCGGGGTGGTTGTACAAAATGATTTCCTGATGCTTGGGTTGTGGATGGCCCTGCCATGGGGCTCTTGCTCTCTCCTGGCTGGCGAGCCCAGCCCGCGTCTGTCCATGAGCTCGCTTGCCCCTCGGGAAGCCACCCACCCTGGCTGGGCAGCCGGAAGTCCTAGGCAGAGACCGGCTGGCACTGGGTTGTGGGAGGTGCCCTTCCTTCCGGTGGGTCTCAGACCCCATGGTCTGTGCCAACCAGGATTTCAGGCTGTGCCACAGAAATCCCAGGCCCCTGAGGTTGTGGACAAGGCTGGGCTGTGCCCCTTTAAGGAACTTTGGTTCGAAGAGTCAAGGTGCCCAGTGGGACGCTGGGATGGGCAGGACCCTGCTGGGTCGTGATGCTAATGCCCGGATGCAAACCTGACAAATCCCGGGTACAGGAGCTGAATTGTCACAGCCTCGCCCGTGGTAGTGGTGGAGGTGGGGGCCTGAAGGTGGCAGACAGTGACTCAGAGCTGCTCCTCATCCCCAAGGGAGCAGGTGCCTTTTCATACACAAACCACAGGGCTCCCTGGGCAGAAGCCAGGGCTCTCCCGACCAAGATCTTTAGACCCAAATGAGAGGAAGAAAACAATAACAAGAACAACAAAATCCCCCCAGAGCCCTGCGAAGGGGAGACCTGGAGGGAAACGAAAGAAGGAAAAGACCGTTATCATTGGTTCACCATAACTGGCCTAGCAAACATTAGCCACAGTGAAGAGGGGTGGCTCCTTCCTGGATCGCCCACTGCCCAGCAGGGGGTGGGGCTGGCAGGGCAGGGACCAGAGCCCCCATCTGCTGTCTCCAGGGCACAGACTGAGCCTCACGCAGTCTCTCGGTTCCTCTGGAAGTACAACCTTGCCAGAAGTCCTCCAATACATCCCAGAGATAGTGTTACTGCCACATTCCCAAAACCAGGGTGAAGCTCAGAATTTGGTGCAGCTTATGGGACAAGGGCACCTACCATGCCCTTGGCCCCTCCTCTTCAAGCACAGCACGACAATAAGGTCTGATCCTGCCAACCATGTCACGGGCTTCTGACTTCCATCTTCATCCGGGCTCCACTGCAAACCTTCTGGTTACCCTGTGGCCCTGGACTGCATGCAACACCTCTGACATCTCTCCAGGTACTCACTCTTCAAGGAGTCAAGCCCAAGCCTAGGGGAAGCAGGTGTTCCTAGGGGCCTCCCACAGGCAGAGGTTTTGGCTTCACAGTGGAAAATGCCTTGCAGAATTCTCCGGTGTTTCTACAAAGTGCAAGAGATAACAAGTCAGACTGACGGAGAGAGGACTCTCAGCAGGCCCAATGGCTGGTGCCAAAATTCCTTCCTGGACTTCTAGAGCGCCATGACTTCCCATCCGTGCCACCGGCTGCCCTTCTCTCCTTGCCGGGAAACCTTGGTGCATTCTTCCTGATGCCAAGCAAGAAGCCATCAAGTGGGATGGTGGGGACATGTCCTAACTTGTGATGCAATTGGTGGCTTTCTGTGCTGGGAACCCACAGCAATGAAGAGCAAAGTTTGCTTCAGTGGCACCACTTCCTGGTTTCTAAATGCCACCAGAGAGGGACTTGACCCAGGCGTGTGGAACTGCGCTGGGATGCTTGCATCCATCCTCAAGCAGCGTACACCATCCTCCTGGTAGACCTGAGAGCCCTGGGTTAATGAAAATCTGAGGGGCCATCATGAGGCTGCAGTCCTTGGCTTGGGCTCTGTTGGTGACCACAAGGCAGGGGAAAGGCCCTGCTGAGCAGAGGTATATCTCCTCCACTTCTTTCTTGGGTCCATGGTTGTCAAAATAAAGGTCATTTCTATCCTGGGAACCATGTAACTTGAGGCAGACTGTATCCAAGTCAGCAGGCAGCCACCTTTACTCGCGAAGGTATGACAGAAATGGCCCCATTTCCTGGTCTCCCAGCTCCCAAAGGCCTGTGGGAGACGGACTTATGGTAGTCACAGAACTGTGGGGCAGATGACAAAATCCTTCTGAAGGTCAAGACCAAGCCAGGCACCAGGAGATGAACTGGAAGAGCCCGTCTCAGTCCTTTGGATGAGCTGGAAATTTGGTAAGGTGGATGCTGCTGGAGACAATGGGGCAGGTGGCTGACCTGTGGGTTTTGTTAAGATCTTTGGGTTTTGTTAAGCTGCCTGTCACAGCAGGATTTGCACCGTGGGAATAGCCTGCATGAGGAAGCAGGCTCAGAGGGCACCTGGTACAGCCTTTCCTGTTGGCGACACCCGTTTCTGGGGGACCACAGATCACAAGAGAGAAATGATCGCCTGCCACCGTTAGCTACGTGGGCAAGGCAGGCCCCAGAGACCACTTTCTGTGGACCTAACAGCATTTACAGCAAACCTGCAGAGGCAAGCGAAGCCTAAGTACTGAACTGAGGTGCAAAACACGGGATTACTGGAGGTGACAACCTAATTCTGGATACTTCCAGTAAGTATGACTTACTCTAATTTTCATTCTGGAGGGCAAATATCTCATGCTCTAAGGAGGAGACCGCTGAGTACTCTAACTGCGGATCTAGGTGTGGCTGCTGGTTCTGCAATTCACTGGCTCAGTAACAGCCTGGCCAGCGTAACTGACTCTGCTTTCTCTGACAACCCAAATGGGCAGCTCCCGTCCTTCCAGTGTGGCTAAAAGTGCCAAGTTGTGCTCATCCCATCCAGCAGCCAAGCAAGATTGATAAGAAGCATCTGTCAGTCAGCAGCAACCCAGAGCCCACCTTCCACAATTCCAAAGGCCTGATCAAAACATCTGCCGATGTTTCATGTTCTTTAGGAAGCAACATTTGGTTCCTGTCTGGATTCTCCCTGCTCCTGCTCCACTGTAGATGAGGCTCTTCTGTCGGTGGCAGCAGGAGCCGGAAATGTAGAAGAAATACCTAGAGCCTCTTCTCTAGGAGAGGAGCCAGTCTGCAGTTGCTGGGACCATGGCTTGCTGAAGCAGTTGTGGAAATGGCCCACTTTGATCCATTTCAGTATGTCCCATGCTGCAGGGAGAGCTGGGTTAGTTTCATGAGGTGAAGTGTACAGCTTGGCCTCCAAAAGAGTGTGGGCACCATGATCATGATGCTTAAGCCTTCTTGGGTTTTAAACCAACTTTATGCCCGTCCTGCCAGGGCCCCATGGGAGAGGGCTATGGTACAGTGCTTTTCGTAGTCGAGGTATCTCACAGTTGAGTAATGCTTTATTACTGGGTGTGTGTGTGTGAGGGTCCATTTAGCCAACCCCCATGATGGCAGAAGGTGCCTTTGCAAAGAGCCCCCACAATGGTGGTCACTCTCAGCATGAAGCGCAACCATCCCTATCCCAGAGCCACAGACACCTGAGGGACAGGGGGCTACCAGCTCTTCATTCACTCAGGGGTGGGGTGGGGTTGAGAGCTGATCTTTCTCTCTTGGAGAGAATGGGTTCTTAGCAGAACCTCCGTTGCTCATGACTGGGGGATCAGAAGAGGGGCCTAAAGACCCCTGTCACAGCATTGAGTGGAAGGTGTCCACCCTCAGAACATCAACTGTTCAGCCCACAAGGCACCAGGCTCAACTGCTGTCCTGGTTGGCCGTTGGAGGTGCCTGTGGGGACCCCTGAGGGCTGCGGACTGCCTGAGGAACCATGGGAAGGAGGGAGAGACTGGGTCTTGGGTGTGGTGGCCATGAATATGGATCAATTCTGGAGCCCTGAGGGGCCGGAAGCGTGGGGGATAGGTGAGGAGCGGAAAGCCCTCTGGCAACAGAAGCCAGATGCTCTCAGTAACAGACACAGCGAACCAGGAGGTGGCTCTTCTGCTTACATTCAGGAGAACCCCACGTGCTGCCCATATGGCTTCCAGCAAACCCCACAGCTGAGGAACCCGCAACCCCTCCCGCTCCCTTGCTCTCCAGACAGCGCACGTCTTGTCCATCTGAGAACAGAAAACCGGACTGTATGGGGAAGGCTGATAGAAACTTTAGGATACTGAATATACCACTGAGATGAGCTAGTTTACAGTGCGACGTGAGGGACAAAAAGGGCAAGTAAAAAACCCCAACACTCCAAACCATAAGTTATAGACATTCAGTGCCTCCTAGCAGAGTCTAACACAAATTTGAAAAAATAAAATGAACCCCCAAAAAGGTAAAAACTGCCAAAATGTTAGGGAAAAAACTGAGTGGAGACAGTTATCTATACTTCTCTGAAAAATGTCTCTTTTTTTTTCTCTCTTATATTAAAAAGCAAAATGTCAGCTTTATATTCTTAGAGTCTCCTTTCCTGATTTGGGGAGATAGATAGGTGTGTTTCTAAGGCGGCTGCCTGGGGATACCTGGGGGTGACCCCAAAGGCAGCAGCTCAATGCCCTGAAGGTGAACGAGAAACAAAGTCCAGTGCAGAAACTGTCCATTGGATGCAGTTTGGAGAATCCACGGCAGAGCAGCTAGGGCAGGGGGCAGGCGCTGTAGGGATTGGGGGGCTGAGGTTGGGGGCGGCAGGGGTAGAGGACAGGGGATGTCAAGTCACTTCAGATTGCAGCTGCCTGAACATTGCGATGTTTCTCCCAATCTGCACACCTGAAAAACGGAGTCTTTAGAGCCCCTTCCCGAGAAAAGGTGAAACTTCTCCCTCTTTCCCAGTCACTTGGCTTTCCTGACACGCCCAGCCCAATGCACATGCGCCTGCGGGCAGGCGTGTGTACATGCACCAGGGTCGTGTGTGTGTGCACGTATGTGGAAACTTCTCTGGCTGCACAGATGAGCGCAAAGCCCCCACGCCCACGGCACGCGTGTTCAAACACGTGCACACATGTGGGTGTGGACACACATGCACACACACACTGAAAGAAGCACTTAAGTTTCTAGGGGGCATTTAGAATGAGGTCCACAGTGTTTAGAACTTAAAATTCCTTTTCTTTGTTTGTGACAGTGCTGTGTGTTTTTCTAATGTTCTCCTTTTGCTTTGCTTTCTTTTTTTGTTTTGTTTTTCTGCTTTCCCAAAGTCAAGTCTTAAAGCATGTTGGATTTCAGAAACATGAGTTTGTTCATGTCTTCTGGACTGAGCAGTCGCCTCCTTTTGATGAGAAGTGCTTGTTCACACATATTTACACACCCACTTCTCGCCCCCACGGCTGGAACCGCCAGGAGCCAGAAGGCGAGCTTGGCGAGTTTTGTGTGCTTTTGGGTCACACAGGACCAGTACTGGAAGAGATCTGGGGTGGCCTGAAAGAGGGGCTCCTGCAGGTAGTCATACACTTCGTTCTTCCCCAGGCGATCGTCCTCCTGAGCCGCGGGGTGCTCCCCAGCGGTGGTGCGCGCCTTCTTGGCAGTGGGCTCAAAGTCAGCCTCCTCAGCCCAGGACTCTTTCACCTCGTTGATGAGCTCACAGACCTTGCCGATGATCTCCTCGTGCTGGTACGGTGGCACAGGCCGAAGCTTCTGCTGCGGGTCCAGGATCATGGCCACCTTGTGGGCCGGGTGCACCTTGAAGTTCTCCTTGAGTGCCTCCAGGAAGAGGTGGCACAACTTGCTGACGGTGCCTGCGTCGTTGGCCTTGGCTGTGAACAGCTTCTCCAGCCGGACGTAGGTTGGTAGGACCAGCTGCAGGGTGGGCTGGCTCTCGTTGCTCAGCTCGATGACAGCCTGCTTCACAGGTGTGAGGATGGCTGCCAGGTTGCTGAGCAGGTGCTTGTTGAGGCTCTGGATGAGGTTCATCTTCTTGGCTCGGCTGTAGAATTCACAAATCTGCTCGTAGCGCTCATGCACCAATAGCAGTGAGTCTGTCACCGAGTTCCAGCAGGGCGGTGGTGACGTCTCCTCCAGAGACCCAAAGGTCTCCTTGGCGAGGCCTGTAGAGCCTGCCAGGTCCTCGCACACGTTCAGCAGCTCGATGACCTCGTGCATGCTGCGGGCCTGCAGCGTCCGCTTGCTCAGCACGCTCTGCACCACTGAGTTCAAGGCACAGGCTGAGCAGCGAAGGCACATGCCGGCCTTGGAGAAGGCGGATGCACTCACCCGGCAATCCGTCACATACACTGTCCTGATCTCCGACATCACGAACTCCGACAGCACGTTTTGCACCCAGTGGTGCACCAGGTCGCCACTGTCACGAATGTCCGCACCCTTCACGCCCAGCACATAGCTCTTGATGTGGTTACCCTCAGCCTGGTAGGCTGTAAGGATGTAGCAGGAGTCGGGGCCGACACTCTGAGAGTGGCAGGTGACACCAATGCCTAGGCAGGCATTGCTGCCCAAGGCACACGTCACCTTCACCTTCACCTGGTTGTACATGCGCGGCAGGTGCTTTAGTGCCAGCGTGTTGAAGTTGCCCAAAATCTCGGTGACTGAGAAGGCCCCGTAGCGGGCACCACTGTCTACCAAGGTCTGGGCGAACTTGAGGAACTCCTTCCCGCTGACCACGCTCAGTGCACCCAGGTCGGCACACATGACCCGCAGCAGCCGCTCTGCGATGTTCTGCCGCTCCTTCTCAGGGATCATGCTGTTGGACGTTAAACCACTGGTCGTGGCTGGCAGGGAACACAAAGAGATGTGATTAATTCTGGTATTCAAGACTGCTTGGCCCAGCAGCAGCCTAATATGCCAAACATCTAGGATTAGGACTGACAAGTGGATTTTATCTTGCACACACACTGGTGATGCTACGTTTAAATGGTCTTATTGAGAAGACAAGTTCTGTGATTCATTAGTAATGCCTGCCACAGGCATGGGAATAGAATAGTGATAGGTATGCAACATATTTACCATATGTGCCATTCACTTAGACCTTCGAAGAAAATTAATATAGCAATCACCATTAAAATGGGAATCTTTAGTAAAATACGTAGAGCCAGCGTCAGGAAAAAGCCAAAAGAAATCACAGAAAGGCAGGTTCTATTATGATTCTTACGGTACTTTCTGACCACAAAATATTACCTCCTTTCCCTGGGCCTCCTGTCCATCCTGTGCATTAAGAATTCCTAAAAATGAGGTCGGTAGTGTAACTATGCTTTGGAGACTGTTGTGTGACACCATGCGTCGCCATAGGGGACTCAGGCAGTAGGAATGATGGCAAGGAAAAACTGGAGGGAAACTGGCCAGACCTCTGTGAACCCCAGGGCCCAACCCGGCCAAGGAGACCTACTGTTATTGGCACTGTTCCTCTGGCCCTGAGGTTTCCACTTCTCTTCCACAACAGCAGGTGGCGATCGGGACTGGTTGGAGGTGATGTTGTTTTCATTGTCAGCTGTGGGCACGACAGGAAGAGTGTGTTACCTTGAGGGGGAAGAGGCTGGTGACAAACACGACGAGAACCAGTGTGCAGGGTACAGTGAAATGCGACCTTTGGGACTCCGGCACGCATTAAATCCTGGGTCTTCCTTACATAACAAATCTATGCTTACAGAGTCTCATCTCAACATCTGGGAAAATGGGGACAACCATATTGCCGTCAGACAGTACCTGGAAGGACTCTGGAGAAGGCTCAGAAAGGGTTCAGCTTGGTGCCTGTGGCAGAGGGACTCCCAGTTGGTGGGAGCTGCGGGATCCCGAACCCGCACTGATATCCCACACCTTTACCATCGCAAAGCTGCAGCTCTCAAGCGGGATCGTCAAAAGCACTTCACACTCGCTCCCCTCACTTCTTTAAAGTGTGCTTTTCGCTTTTTCAGTATATTTACCAGAAATTTTATGGAATGAACAAAATGAAGCCAAAGCTACATGATACAAAGTATTAAATCACCAAACTCCTTCCTGTAAGATGGAGAAACTGAAGTCCAGCTACTAGAAACTATTATCCAAGACCACAGAGAAAACGGTGCAGGGCTGGGACACAGACCTCAATACGTGAGGAGCCAGGCAGAATGGCTTTCATAGCTATGAAATACATTTGTCACAGATCGAAGGCGGCTCCATACTTGCGCTAATCTCTTAAGAACAGGCCTCAGAAATACAAAGGCTATCTTAAGTAAATATACAGCAAAGAAATACAGTGAAAGTAAAAGGAAAGTGTGACCAGGAGAACAACCAATCAGCAGAATCAGACACTGAAGTGACGGAGATGATGGATTAGTCAACAAGGACCTTAAAGTTAGCTGTTGTAGATGTCATAAACATGTTCACAGATGTGAAGGAAAACATGAACATCATAAAGAGAAAAATAGAAAATCTAAAAAACCAAAAATGGCCCAAACCAGAACTAACCAACTTAAGTGGAATGAAAGTGTAAAATAAATAAACAAAACCATACACATATATATGAAAAAGGCTGGAAAAAAATGATCAGAGCATGGAAAATATCAGGTAGTTTAATACACTCATAAATATAAATATAAAATGGAAATCTGATAAAAAGGAGTGGAGCAAAAACAGTACTGGAAGTAATAGTCAAAAATTTTCCAAATTGGACAAAAAAACCCCGCATATTCACAAAGCTGACTGTATCCCAAGCAGAATAAACATAAATAAAACATCGTGAATACATAGCATCACATACAATCAAACTGCTGAAAGCCAATGAGAAAGAAAAAATAATCTTAACAAAAGGGGGTAAATTATGTACATATAAACAAAAACAAGAATGACAACAGACTTCTCATCAGAAATTATGCAACCTGCAGGCAAGAAAATAAAATGCTAAATGCCTAGAAGTCTCTATCCAGTGATAGTGTGTTTCAGAAGTATCTGTCTGTTGTTTTTTTTTTTTCCCCTTCAGTACCAGGAATCAAACTCACGACCTCACGCCTGCCAGGCAGGTGCTGTGCTGCTGAGCTAAATCCCCAGCCCAATAGTGTGTTTCATAAATGAAGATAAAATAGACTTTTAAGATGAAATGAACAAAAATTAAGACTTGCATTATGAAAAATATTAAAGAAGTTCTTGAGGTCTTTTTGAAAAATGGTTTCAAATAAGAATCTGGAGCTACAGAAAGAAAATTAGACTGTTGGAGAAAATTCTGTACGTGTAGATAAATATATATAAAAAACCCTCTCCCCTCATTTAAATGTAGCTGCTCATTAGAAAACAGTTTTAAGAACTATGACAATTATATGTAAAAGCACATTGTATAGTAAGATTAGAAAGACCACAAAAGGAAATTAGAAGACACTGTTGAAAGATTTTCACACAATATGGAAAGTACACTAATGTTAATTGGAGACAATCAATTTAAAATATGTAGTTTAAAACACAAATAAACCAAACTATAGCAAGGATGAATTAATTGGGAAGACAGAAATGGAATCCTAAAAAATTCTCAATCCAAAATAAAGTAGGGGAATTAGGAAAAAAAATGGAACAAAGAAAAAAAGAGATGAATAGCCAACAAGCAGAAAGATGGCAGATTTATACTCAACAATACTGAGATTTCAAGAAATGCAAATGTCTCAAAATTCCATGAAAAACTCACAGATCCATTAAAAAAAAAAAAACCCAAACATAACCCAATACTATGCTTTTGATAAGTTAAGAGTAACAGGCTGAATAAAATACTGCATACCATGGACAAATAATAAAAAGAAACCTGGCTAGGTGGGTAATACTATTTTAGGAAAACTAGAACTCAAAATAAGAAATATTATCAGGGATAATAAGAGACCCTGCGTAACAATAAAGAGTCAAATTACCAAGAATATATAGTACTCCTAAATGTGTATGCAGAGCTTTAAAACATGTTAAACAAAAACAGAGAAGTCAAACAAACATAGAGACAAATGCACAATTATAACTGGAGATTTCAACTCTACCCTCTCAGTAACTATTACTGAGAAAAGAAAAAAAAAAAAAAACTGATCATAAATAAACAGAGAGGGCAAGATGAAGCAGCTTAATAGGTATATAACTGGATTCCACGAAAAGGGGGTGAGGCAGGAAATGTCAAAATCATATACTGTGTGGACTCTGACCGTCACAGAATTAAATTACAAGTCAATACCAAAAAGATATTTAGAACAATTGTAATTACTAAATATAACGTCATACTTTTAAGTAACTCATGGGTCACAGAAAGAAACATGAAACTGGGCAGAAGCTTTACATTTCAAAATTTGTGGGGCATATCTAAAGCAGGGCTCATTTGTAGGCTTAAATATTAGAAAAGAAGTAGAAAGGCTTAAAGTCAGTATCATTAGCTTCTACCTTAGAAGTCTAAAGAAGCCAGGTGTGGTGGCACACACCTGTAGTCCCAGCTACTCGGGAGTCTGAGGCAGGAGGATTACTTTGAGCCCATGGGTTTGAGACCAGTCTGGAAAATGTATTAAGACCCCATCTCAGAGAGGGAGAGAAAGAGACAGACAGACAGATACACAGACAGACAGACACACAGAGAGACAGAGATAGACTGATAGACTGACAGAGACAGAGACAGAGAAAGAGAGCTAGATAGAAAGAAAAGTTAAGTCTAAAGTAAGAAGAACAAAGAAACTATGGATAAAAGAAATGAAATAGAATGTAGAAAAATTTTTTTAAAAGATCAATGAATATAAAAGTCGATTCTTTGAAAAAAAATCAATAAAATTGATAAGCTTTAGCTAGAGGACACAGAGCATCAGTACCAGGAATGAAAGAAGGGCCATTCTTGCACAGGCTGGAGATATTAAAGGGATTAAAAACTATTATATGCTTTTACCAATAAATTGCTGAGATATCTCGAAAGACACAAAGAAATAAAGTTCACTCTAGAAGAACTAGATAATCTGAAATAGTCCTGAGGCTATTAAATGAATTGAATTCACAATACAATAAATTCCCACAGGCTCATAAAGGTTTATTGATAAATCTGAATAAATACTTAAAGAAAAAATAAAATTACAAATTCTTCCAGGAAACAAAAGAGAGGCAAGAACGTCTCCGAACTTGTTTTATGAACTTGCCATTTCCTGATCCAAAACTAGAAAAAAGCATTACATATAAAAAAGAAACTATAGCGCAATATACCTCTCATAAACAGATATGTGAAAATCCTTAACAAATTATTACTGAACTTGGGTCTGGGGATGTAGCTCAGTAATAGAGTGTTTGCCTAGCATGGGTGAATGCCTAGGTCCGATCTACAGCACCAGTAAAAAAGTCAGCAATCTAAATATAACAATATACAACATATAAGCCTGGCGTACTGGTGCACCCTTAATCCCAGCACTTTGGGAAGCTGAGGCAGGAGGAAGGCAAGTTCAAGCCCAGTCCAGGCAATTTAGCAAGACCCCATCTCAAAATAAAATAATAAAAATGAGCAGGGTGGGGGCGTAGCTCAGTGCTCAGGCCTTGCACTCAATCCTCAATACTGTGAGACCAAAGAAACAAAAACAAAACCCCCAAATCCTCACGTTTCAGTAAATGGAATTTACTCTAGAAATTCTAGTTGAGATTTATATTTCAAAAACCTGTCACTTTAATTCCTACACTGACAGAAAAAATAAGAAAAACCACCTTCACAGATATTAAAGAAACATTAAAATGTGATGAAATTCAATACTGATTCATGATTCAAATTTCTAGCAAACTAGAAACAGATAAACCTGGTAAAGGGCATCTAAAGAAACACTTACTAATCCTATAAAAATAAAAAACAGAAAATATTATAAGGAAATACTATAAGCAATGATATTCCAATTAATTAGATAACCTGGATGAAATACACTAATTCTTAGAAAGACATAAGCCAGGAACTGACTCAATAAATGGAAAATCTAGACAGAATTATAGAAAAAAAGTGAATTATTAACAAAAGCTCACACTGAAAAAACACACACAGAGAGAGCTCAGGCTCAGATGCTTCATTTGTGAATTCTATCATATGTTAAAAAGAAATTTTCAATTAATTTTATGAAGTATTATTCTGATTCTAAAGTCTGATAAAAAACAAAGGAAAAGAAACCACAGCTTCATAACCTTTCATAATAGAGATATAAACTTCCTCAACAAAATATAAATATTTGCAGAGAAGTCCAGAAACATATGTATGATTCTCTACCATAAACAAATGAGATTTATCCCAGGAATGCAAAGGATTCACCATACAAAAATCAATGTAATGTACTATGTTAATAAGATAAAGGACAAAAATTGTACAGTCACCTCACTCATTCAGAAAAAGTATCTGACAAAATCTGGCACCTTTTCATGATAATAACACTCAACATGCTAGGAACTGAAAGACACTTTTTCAACATAATAAAGGGGATCTATAAAAAACCTATACCCAACATAAGTAAGCTTAATAGTAAAATGGGCTGAGGATGTGGCTCAGTGGTA